CTGTGGCGGTGGAATCTATGCATCTTGCTCCACCCCACGTCCCCATTTCCCAGCAGAGGGCCTGTCACATAGCAGGTGCTCAATAAATATTTAATGAGTTAAATGTTTCCATTTTAACGATTAGACCACTGAGGCACAGAGAGGTTTAGCACCTTGTCCTGATCACACAGCCAGGCCGCAGAGAAGCTCTAGAGGAAAGGGCCACTTGGGCATGGTCGGATTGGACTGGGGCCAAAGGCAGAGTTGGAGTTTCCTGGAGGAGGGAGAAGGAAAGATCACAGGCTATGCAGGCAATTTTCTTCTCTGCTCCCAGTGATGTCTATGTGTCCAGGTCCCTCCGTCTGACCACCAACCCCTGCTCCCATTTCACAGATGATAAAAGTGACTCCCAGAGGAGGGCAGAGCTTACTCAAGATCCATAGTGGACCGCAGTCTAATGTTTCCCAGAGCTGAAGCCCCCCCACTCCCCCACCTCCTCCCACCTGCATCCTAGAAGAGCAGGAGAGAGGGGGGCCACCCCAGAGGGAGGCCAGTGGGCCCTGCTTGAGCCAGGGCAGGGGGTTGGGAGGCCCGGGTTCTTGGGCTGGCCTTGCCACTTACCCGTACTAAGCCCCTTAAAGTCTTTGGGCCTCAGTTTCCCCATCTGGATGACAAGGGGGCTGGGCTTGGTGGTTTCAGCCTCCCGCCTTCCCCAATGAGGAGAGGGCTGTGGGAGCTGGTGAGTAAGAATACAGGCTCCTGAGTCCAAAAGGCATAGTTGAGTCCTGGTTCCAGCATTTATTGCTGAATGATCTAGCTCAGTCCCTTCACCCCCCTGAGCCTTCATTTCATGGTCTGTAAAAAAAAAAAAGAATAATAGCATTTTTTTTTTTTTTTTTTGAGGATTAAATGAGCTAATGTAAGGGAGTCCCTGATACAATGCCAGGCACAGCATCCCCAGCAAAATGAGTTCATAATATTAATTAGGGGATGCTGCCCTCTGGAGGCCAAGAAGGAACAACAGGCGAGGAGAGCCCGACCCGCTGCCCGGGCCAAGCTGGAACCCGCGTCCCCAGCGGGCGACCATTGTCCGGGTGGGGAGAGCGCGGCTGGGCGCCGGTCACTCGGTGTGCGCCTCCACCCACTGGCAGAGGCGACGGGCGTAGCGAGTTGGGCTGACGGTGGAGAAGGTCCGGCCTGGGTAGCGCAGCGTCTTCCACAGGTGCTCCAGCCGCTTGCGGAGCCCGTAGACTGTGGTGAGGTCCACGAGGCCCAGGAAATAACGTTGCTCTGGCCCGTCCAGGATGTGTAGGGCGTTGGGGGTGTCGGGCAGCAGCCGGCGGTTCTGGGCTTCCGGCTCCTCCAGGCTCTGTACCTCTCGCATAGACCTGGGGGCAGACAGGAGGGTGAGGTTACCACCTCCTCCAGGGAGCCCCAGCCAATGGACCCTGTCAGCATGGCCATGCTGCCCCTGGGTCATTCCCACACCTCCCGTGTGCCCGTACCTGTGATGTCAGATAAACTGGGCGGCTGAGTAAAGTGCAGTTGACGGTCTAAAGCTGAGCTGTCCATTATGCAGCCACCAGCCAGCCATATGTGGCCCTGAGCACTTAAATGTGGCCAGTCCCAAATGAGATGCGCAGTAAGTATAAAATACATACTGGATTTCCAAAACAGTGTGAGAAAAAGAATGTAAAATATCTCATAAATGTTTATATTGATTAGATGATGAAATGATAAAAGTTTGGATGTACGAAGTAAGTGAAATATGTTATTAAAATTATTTTTACCTGTTTCTTTTTTACTTTTTAAAATGAGGCTACTAGAAAATTTAAAACTACATGTGTGGCTTGCATTAAATTTCTACTGGGTAGCGCTGGTCTAGAGCATTTGGGTCACACAGACTCTGGCTCTGCACTTACGTGCCACATCATTTTGGGTAAGTCCCATATTTGGGTACTTCCTAAACTGTTGTTTGGGGTTATCGAACCCTGGAAGTTTCAGGGTGGCAGAGTTGAAACCTTGCAGACAAAGTCCAACCCAAGTTTGCAGATGGTGTGTTTTTTTGCCTCAAATTGTATTCCAAATCAGAAGGTGCCTCTGGCTGGGCCCCCAATCCCAACCAGAAGCAGGCTCAGTCCCCTAACGTCGTCCTCTTGTGATGGTGGGAGTTTGGGAGTGGGGGTCGGTGGGGGGGGTCGCTGAGGGCTTTATCCCTGCCCTGCCCAGGTCTTGGGGGAAAGAAACCAATCAAAGAAAGTCCCACCCAGGCACCAACCAATCAGAACCGAGTGGTCTGGGAGCCAGAACAGAGTGCTGGTTCTCTCTGCAGTGCCAGGGTTAACCTGGGTGTGGTGGGTTCTGAATGAGGGGCTGGGAACTGGGTGGGGGTGGGGCTGTAGCTGCGACCATTTACCAGGCAGCATGGAGAAACTACCGTCGTATGCACACTTGGGTTTACCTGCTGAATGACGGCTGTAATCTGAGCACCATCTGGGGGTAGAGGGCAAGGGAGAAGCTGATGTAGGTTGGATGGGCAGACTTGGTGGATTCTGTGTGCCCCATGGCAGGCATTCCACCATCTGGTCAGGATGTGCCCACCAAGCCATTACCTTGGGTTGTGCCCAAGACTCACCCATCCCAAGGTCTTCCTCCAAGGGGTGGGGATGGGGCCTAGGTGAGTGGACATCATTTTTCACTTGTCTTGTCCACCCACTGGATCAATGAACTTATTTCCTTGAAGTGTCTGTCTTAATCCCTGAGTAATTCAGTTCAACCACAGATGTGGGCCTTGGAGGACTGAAATCCAAGTAACTAACCAAGTACTAACATGAATCCTCAAAAGTCATTCTACAAAAAAAAAAAAAAAAAAAAAAAAAAAATTCAAAAACTTCCCTTCCCTCCACTGAGGCTCGGTTTCCACATCTCTAAAATGGGAATGAGCCCATCCTCTCAATGAGGCTCATAGTCAGCATGCAAGGATTGGCTGCATGCAAGAGGAAGGCAACAAGATGATGGTGCCAGTGGTGATGACTTTGGGGTCCTCAAAGTGAAATGACCGAGTTAAGGGGCAAGGGCTCTTTCTAAAGCAAAAATTAAATAGGTCTGAAACCTTCAATGGCTCCACATCTCCTTCTGGAAAATGGGCAGATTCTTCAAAAGCCCAACTGGATCTCACCTGGTCTTTCCTCTGCTGTGATCCATCTGTGCCTGCTACCCCTGCCAGCCAGGCTTCTCCAGCCCTCCACGCTACACACACACACAAACACACACACACACACACACACACACACACGTACACATATACACACAAACACTGCACTTTCCAGTCTTCGAGCCTTTGCCTGTGCTGTTCCCCCACTACACCGTCTGTCTTTTCCATGTTCTCATCACCTCATTCTTGCTGTTGCCTCTGGGGGGCCCACCTGGCTGTGCGGAAGATGAGGCTACTGCCTGGGCCCCGCTCATCCTCATGGAGACGCTGAAAGGCCATCAGGAGGCTGTAATCCAGCACGTTGAGCTCCCGGAGGAAGGCGGTGTCCAGTTCCATCTGGCGGAGGAGCCAGCTCCGCTGGGGCCCTGCCAGAGCATCAGTGCCCCCACCTGAGTGCTCGTTGTGTGCCAGGCAAGTTTCTGAGGGCTCCACACACATCTGCCCTAGAAGGGCAGATGTCATTACTGTCCCATTTCACAGATGAGGAAACTCATCTGTAATTTGCCTTGGTCACCTAGCTGGAAAGCTGTGGAGTTAGGATTCTCTGCCTGACTCCAGAATCTGGGCTCTTAAAGTCTCAGGCAGAGAGCAGTGCCAGGGACACCCTTCTAACTTCACTCTAAATGGAGGAAGAGCAGGCAGTGACCGCCCCCGTGGCTCACCCAGGTTGATGGTCTTGCCCTGAAAGTTGAGGTCTTTCAGCACCAGGACAAGGGCGCTGCCCTCAGGGGCGGGCTCCACCCAGCGGCTCACCTCGCAGCCCTTGATGTCATACCTGGGAAGTGAGGTGTGGGGGAGACAGAATTCAACCTTATACAGACTTGAGACATACAGGGGACTCACGAGGTAATAAGAAACAAGAGCTTCCACTGGGTGACTGTCCAGATTCTCAGCACAACCCCAGTCCATTACTGTCCCCATGTTAGAGATGAAGAAAAAGCCTCAGAGAGGTTTTTTGTTTTGTTTTGTTTTTAATTTGCCCAAGACCACACAGTGAGTAAAGGGCAGAGCAGGGATTCCAACTCAGGCCCTTGAACGTCCAGTCCAGACTTTACCCCTGCCTGTGACTGCCTCTTGTCATCCCTGGGGTATCCCAGACAGAGGGGCCCAACCCTAGATGCAGCAACAGAGGGCATGAGTGAAGTCCGCGCCCTGGGAGAGCACCAGCGTGGAGCTCGCAGGCAGAGGCAGGGCTAGGAGGCTCAGAGGGCCGCCTGCAATCAGAGGCTAGTTTGAATCCCTGCTCCTCACGTAGTAGCTGTGTGGCTTTCCCCTCCTCAGTTTCTCATCGACAAAATGGGGATGATAAGGACAGCTACCCCTCAAAAGAGTTGTTCTGGGAATAAGGAAGATGATGAATGAAAAGGGCTCAGCACAGCGCCCATGGCATACTGAGTGCTCAAGAGATGCTGGTCCTGGGAATCACTGTCTCCGACCCGTCAGGAGATCTTGGTAACGTCCCTTCTCCTCCCTGCGCCTCAGTTTCGCTGTCTGTCTAGTGAGTGTGGGTGCTTCAGGTGGCACATTCCGGGTGGGGCGGGGAGGCCGACTCACCTCTCGGAGATGCGGCCGGTGGGATAGAAGACGCTCTGCATGATGATGAAGTATTTCTGGAGACGGGGGTAGGGGGTGAGGGAGGACAGGATCTCACCCTCCAGCCGCCCCATCCGGCCCGGCCCCCTCGCCTCGGCCTCACCCACCTTCTTTCCCCGGGCCACCCGCAGACTGTGCACTCCTGGAAAGGGAGAGGGCGTCAGGTAGAGAGGCCCCAAACTCGGCAACGCCGGGGGCATCCTGCCCCATTTCCAGGCCGCGCCTCCTTCTCGCGATCCGCCGCATCCCGAGCCTCCAGGCCACGCCCTCAGACCCCTTCCCCAGCTTGGGGTGGTGTCCCAAGTCGAACCGCTTCTAAATTTAGCCCCAAAGATGCCGTGTCCCCCAGGCCTAGCCCTGCCCATATACCCTCCTCCCGGGACTATTCAATCCCAACCCCGCCCCCTTTGGGCCCCGCCCGAGGTACTGGCCCCGCCCACTGACCCCCGCCCCCCTACGTTGCTGTCCAGGACCCGTCCCCCCCACTGAACTCTGCCCCCAGCCGGCCCCGCCTCCTGTCCAGTCCCCTCCACCCTGCTCGGGCTCAGGTCCCCTACGCCCCCCGTCCTGGAACCGCCCACTCCCTGACCCCCTCCCCTTCTCGCTCTCTCTCTTCACCCCTCCCCTCGCCCCGCAGTCCCGGGTCCCTGGCCGGTCATACCCAGCAACCGCGCAAGCAGCGAGTGTGGGTGCCGCTGCAGGTGCTGCACGTAGCGGGGCAGGTGGGCGAGCAGCGCCCGCACCTCCCGGCGCCGCAGGGTCTTCAGGAAGAAGCGCTGGTCGTGGCTGGGGGGCGGGACGGAGAGGTCACTGACCAGGTGGGGCAGGAGCCGCGTCCGCACCGCCCCTCTCGCCTCCGGCCCTCGTCCCCGGTCTCTCCTCCTCCATCTGAGCGCTATCCGGCCCTGACCCACCCTGACCTGGCCATGCTGTCTCTCTCCTCAAGAGACCCCCTCCGCCCCGGACACCTCTCCCACCCCCTTCCCCACCCCAGCCGCCAGCTCACGACAGGAAGAAGCTGGCCTTGCTCTTGGAGGTGCTGAGGAACTGCAGGTAGGGGCCGCCGGGACCCAGCGCAGCCTGATAGTCCTCCTCGGCCAGCCCTAGGGAGCGCCGCAGTCGGGCGAAGGCGGGGCCAGCCAGGGTGCCCAGCTCGAAGCCCTGCGGAAAGGAAGAGCAGCCCCGAGAGTGTCCCTGGGGCCCAGGTGTGTGCAGTTGGCTCTGGAGGGTCAAGGTAAGCACACCCTTCCTGCAAAGCCCCGGGGCAAGCCGTCATTCCCACTGCACAGATGGGGAAACTGAGAAGAGCAGAACCCCCCCGTCCCGTGCAGCACTCAGGCTTTCTACCTCGTGAACCTGGGTCAGGACCTCGGAGAAATCCTCCTCCGTGGGCAGCCCCTGTAGCAAGGAGCAGAGGGGCTCAGGGCAAGTCTCAACCCCCCAGTGCCAGCCCAGGGTCTCCAAGCATCCTGTACCTGGCCTCACCCCCGTTCCCCCCAGTTTGATTCCTCCAGCCAGTGGGGACCACTCTGGGCGTGCCTGAGTTGGGCAGATAGACTGACTGCCAGCCCTCCCAGAGCTGGAGGGAGGAGGAGAGAAACCCAAGGCAGGTCCTAGGTGTGTCTCACTCACGGCTGGGTCCCCAGCACCAGTCTCTGAGCTAGAGCCTGACGCATGTGCCCAGACACACGTTGGCCAAAGTGTCGCCAGATGCCCTCCCAGTCAAAGGGGATGGCCTAGAAGCCTAGGACTGTCCGACTCAGCCTGGGAGAAGCAGGATCAGAGAAAGCTTCCTGGAGGAGGTGCCCCCTAAGCTGAAATCTCAAGGGCAGCGGAGAGGAGGAGCAGGGTGCTCACAGGAGCGGGAACAGCAGTGGTGGCCACCAGGAAGGGAAGGAGAGCCTGAGTGACTGAAGCGAGTAAGGATGGACTGGGGAGGAGGCTGGACAGTTGGCCCTTGGGGTTGAGCCAGCAGGACCGTGAGGCCAGGCTGAGTATTGGGGAGCCATGGAAGATTTTCAGCAGGTGATGAGATTTAGAGGACTCCTACTCTCTCCCTGGACCTCCAGGTCCCTGTGCTAGGACCTGGCTCACAGGATGTGGTCACACTGTGCACACGTATGCACACACACAAACAACACACATGCTCGCCCGGGCCGTCCAGCTGCTGAGCTTGCAGTGGGCGACCCTTTCTGCTGAGCCAGCCTGGCCCCAGCCTAAGCTCCGGGGAGGATGGGCTGGGCTGGTGGGGTGGGGGCGGGGTCCCTTCTCAACCACACACCCTGGCAGAACCGGGAGGGCCTCAGAGACCAAGGAGTACAATCCCTCCCATCCATTATACAGAGGTGACACTGAAGCCCAAAGAGAGGCAGAGACCCACCTAGATCACACATCAACCACCCCGGTCAGGGGCTTCCTCGCACTCCCCACACACCCTGGGCTTTCTGGCTTCCTGGCCTCAGCCCCCACCCCAGAATGTCCCTCCCTCCCTGCACCAAGCCCCTGCCTTCCTCTCCTTCTATCTAGCCCACTCTGTTCCCCAGCCCTGCAGTATTAGCAGGACAGGGCATCAGCCTGGTCTTGCTGTCGGTGCTGTGGAGGTGCATGGGACAGACTGGCCACTCACCGTGGGCGGGTGGTCCATGAACACTTGAGTGGCAGCCCACAGCCCTGCCTGCATCATACACGTCAGCTGGTGCAGCTCATGCCCTGGGCCAATCTCAAACAGCCCTAAGCGAGACTGCTTGTCTCGTAGACGCCAGAGGAGGCCACGGCGGCCAGAGCTCGAGGTGGCAGCTCTGTGTCCAGCCTCTGGGGAGGGGGCCAGGACCTGGGGTGGGAGGCACCAGAAGCAATGAGCCTGAGGCAGCAAGCATCCCACAGGGGAGAGACCCTGGTCTGAGTCCCACATCCACTGCTTGTCAGCTCACCCCTCATCCCTCTCTGCCTCAGTTTCCTCAGCTGTAAAATGCAGATAAGGCTGGTACCCACCTCATTGGGTGTTGTGAGGGGACAGTACCTGGCATGCAGTCAGCACCCAAAATAGTGCTGTTTATTATCAGTAGGCAGAGCATTTGTTCTGCAACCTCTCACTAGCTTAGGTAGATCACCTAACCTTTCTGCACCTCATTTTCTCCTCTGTAAAATGAAAACTATAATAACTCCTTCGTGGCAGGTATTAACTGTTGTTACTGTTGAGTTTGAGCATCCTGCACAGGAACTCCTTATAGTAGGAGCTGTGATGTCAGTGATTCAGTCATCTATTCCACTCGTCTATGCCGAGTTCCTCCAGGCCAGCGCGGAGGGTCAGCACGAAGCTGAGATCATAGCTGCTGACCCCTTCGCATTGGGCGCCCACCATGTGCCCAGCACTGTCTGAGAGCTTGACCTCCTAACAGCCCTATGAAGGAGAAGCTTTTATCATTGTCTCCATTTTCCCGATGAGGAAACTGAGGAAGTTCTCGGGGGATACCCGCCGGACTCCCCGCTTCAGACCTGCGGCCCTTGTGGGGCGTGTCCCAATCCCGCCCAGTGCAGGACCCCTTCTGGGCTTGGATGGGGATGGGTTCGCCCTGCACGGGGAGGGGAGGTCCTGCCCCTGCCCTCCAACCCTTTCCTTTCCTGTCCTCTCTCGGGTCTGCACCTACCTCGTGGGGCCCCGGGCTCGGCGCGGCCATCGCCCCCGCAGCAGCTTCCCCGGGCTCTGGCCGCTTCCCCAGCTGCCGGGCCGCCCCGCTGCAGGAGCTAGGCCCCGCCCCTGCTTCTGGACCGACCAATCGCGTGGTGCCGGTCACGGCTGCACCCAATCCGAGCTGGGGCGCGGGGGGATCGCCTGCGGGTCCCGCCCCCGGGGCTGCAGCACCCTTCGGACCGCGGTCCAGGGCTGGGCAGGGCCGCCGCGCGTTGGTTAAGGTCCCCACCGGGGGAAGACCCCACATTCCCTTCCTGGGGTGGGAGACTCAGGTCTCGGGGCGCTCGGGGAGGCGGGTAACCTAAATCCAGTCCCGCCCACACACCCTGGCGTGAAATTCCCACCGACCGTATTCCGGTGAGGAAACTAAGGTCCAGAGGGAGAGGTGACTACCTCCAGGTCACACAGGAAGTCAGGGACGTGCATTCATTCAACACTTATTTTGAACATTCACTATGGGCCAGGAGCAGTGTAGGCCGGGGTGGCGTGGGGGGAAGGCGGATTTTAGTGGTGAGTGAGAGAGAGGAATACAGATGCCAGCGTCAGCTTTTAAAAGCATAAATCGCATGATGTCACTCGCACGCTCTAAGCCTCCAGTGGCTTCCCACAGCACCGGAACAAAGTCCAAACATCTCGGCGCGGCCCCAGGCCCATCTGCCCACTCTCCAGCCCCATCTCAAATCACTGTCCCTGCACCCAGCACACGGTCACAGGGGCTCCCGGCTGGCCCTTGGCCACCAAACTCTCACACCTCCGGGCTTTTGCAGGTGCTGTTCCCTCTGCCTGAAATCCTCCCCCACCTCCACCCTCGACTTGATTTGCTTTATTCCTCATCACCTTGCCCGACTCTAAGTGTCCCCTCCCTTCGGTCATGATCACATCGCTTTATTTTTCTTCATCACACTTAACGCTGTCAGACTATCTCGTTCATTTATTTGTTTATTATATCTCCCCTCCCCCACCCAGAGTGGGAGCGCCAGGAGGGCAGGAACCATGCCAGGCTCCTTCCCTGGCTCAGTACCTTGCACAAACCAGTGTTTGAGAAGTACAAGCTGAACCAACGTGAGTAGGATGTGCAGAGAACCTCAGTGAGTCCCGGGAAACGAAAGGCCAGTGTGACTGGAGTGCGGAGAGCTCAAGCGAGCATGCAGGCTCTTGTCGGCTGGCCATAGGAGGGAGAGGTACGGGAACCCAGAGAAGCCCTGTAAGTGTGTGAGAAAGATTCTCAGAAAAAGAAAAAAAAAAAAAACTCAGGGACTTCCCTGGCAGTCCAGTGGTTAAAAGTCTGCCCTTCCACTGCAGGGGGTGAGTGTTCGATCCCTGGTTGGGGAAATGCCGCATGGTGCGGCCAAAAATTTAAAAAACATGCTCAGATGTTTTCAAAAGGCCACTGGTTGTAGTGCAGTCAGATTGGAGGGGGTCATTGTGGGCAGGGAAGAGCAGTGAGGAAGCCTTTGGTGATTTAGGGCAGGGGACGGTGGCTTTGCATCCGGAAGGTGACGGGGTAAGGGGAGAAAAGGGGAGAATTGACAGGATTTGGGGTCATGTGGATGGGGGCGGTGGAAGAGGAAAGCCAAGGTCAGTGATGTCTGCCAGGCTTCTGGCTGTGGGTCGGGGTTACAGGATGATGATGCTAAGGCAGGGCACGACGGGAGAGCCAGATTTGTGTGTGGGGAGAGTGGGTTAAGTCTGAGAATTCAGATCATGACAGGATGGATTTGAGGTGTCACTACAACAGCCGAAGGGGATCTCAGGTGGGCAGCTGGTGCACGTGCAATACATTGGGGCTCAGAAGAAGCTGGTCTGGAGGTGAGCCTGGGTGAGGATGAAGTCACCCAGAAGAGTGTGGGGTGAAACAGCCTGTGATGAGTCCCGAGGAACCCACCATCTCGGGGCAGAGGAGCAGGAGTGCCAGGGAGAGCAAGTAGGAAAATGGGTCATCCAGCGTCTGAGGGTATACCCGGGCGGAGGTCACCGGCCAAATGTGGCAGAGGGGTCAAGGAAATGTGCTTTGGATTTAAAGACTGGACGTCACGGGTGGTGAGTGCAGCCCCCCTGGAATGCTGCCAAGCACAGCAGGGGTGAGGAAATGCAGGAAGCAGGTGTGGATACCGTTTTTTGGGAAGTTTGGCTGTGGAGGGGAAAGCGCGGGAGAGACCCGGAGGGAATTACTGGGTTGATGGAGGGTCCCTTAAACGGAGCCCGTAACATGTTCATTTAACACTGGGGGACCTTGTTGAAAGGCAGAGGCTGTTCCCTTGAGAGAGGTCATCAGACAGGAGGCTCCTGCTATAGCAGTGGGAGAGGACAGGACCCCGAGTCCAGGTGGGCAGCTCTGCCTGGACTGGAAGATGGAGAGACAGGTAAGGACAGGGCAGGTGTGCCTGCAGTTGGTCTCTCTTCTCTGATGAGGGGGACACCTTTGCTAACCGGAGGAAGAATGAATGTCCAAGGTGTGAGAGGTGGAGGCTCACGCTGTGAATGGGAGAGCTGGCTGCCCAGTGGGGCATGGTGGGATGCCAGGGAGTAAGGCTGGGGCCTGTGCCGGTTAACCTGAACACAGTGGAACCAGCCCTGCTCTGGCTCATAACAGCCCTCTGCTCAGAGCCATGCTAAGTTGGGCTGCTGGGTACAAGAGACAGATGACAGGCTTGGCTTTTCAGGGCCTAGCCTGAGGGTCCTTAAAATACCAGTGCCAGCTGCCTAGGCTGGCACAGGGGAGACCTGGTAGAGGCTGATGTGGCGTCTGGCAGATTGCCGTGCTTCCACAGACCCCCCCGCCATCAGCTGCACCAGGCCAGACCTGTATTGGTCCTGGTCCCGGTCCCTGCTTTATCCTGTGTCCAGCACACAGATGATCCAGGAGGCATCTGAGGCACCAACTGCACAAACCAGGGTCTCCTGACCTGAGACCAACGCAGAGGCCAGCGCCCAGCCCCTCTCCAGCCCCAGAGCGGCCCAGTCCCCTGGTCAGGGATGGCACTGAGACAAACACACCATCAACGTTTATTGTTCAGCTCTCCCCAACAGGCCAGCACTGAGGCTGGGGGGCTGGGCCTCCGTGAGAAGTGGTCAATCCAGGGGCCCCCCGTGTGGCCACCCTAATGTGCTCTGGGGCCTGTCAGGCCTCCCCCTAGGCTTTCCAGGTCCAGAAATCCTTGTGGGGTCTGGGGTATGTCAGACCCGGGAAAGCTGCCTTTGTGGAGGAGCAGGACATGGGGGGAGAGGTCTCGAGACGCCCCAGCACGTGCCAAGTCCAGCAACAGCATGTGACATGAGGGAAACTGAGGAAGAGTGTAGAACCCAGAGGAAAAAGCAACAGGGAATCTGAAAAGTGAGGTGGGGAGGACCAGCATTTTCCAGGCCCTGAACCTGAAGAGGGTGAGAGGGAGACTTCCAGGGACTCCTCCCTCCTCCTGGCTTCTGGAAGGGTGAGCAGGGGCTCTGGTCAGTCAGGGGTGAGTCCTGAGCAGCTCCTATCCCACAAGGGTGTCTTCAGGGTAGCCAGGCTTGAGGGGCCCTCAGTGCCTGGATGGGTCCTCTGGGCCCCCACCCTTGGTGTGCCCTGCAGAAGAAGCAGAGAAGGGGCCGGCAGCCTCATCTGTGCTGGGCCTTCACTGAGCCTTTTTGGTCACCTTCTGATTCTTCAGCATCACGTAGGTGATGAACACGCCTGGAATACACAGACCACAAAGGTCAGGAAAGAAAGCGCAGGGCTGCTGGGAGGACAGAGCAGGACACAGCATGGGAGAGTGACCCACACAGGGGGCCAAGCACCTACCCAACCACACTCCAGGCCACCTGGTCATCTCCCCAGTTGTTCATCAAGCCACACATCCACCCATTCATTCAAAAAACATCAGCCGGGTGCCTACTACAGGCAATTTGCTGAGTTTAGCGCTTCCAATTCTACAGGGAATAAGATCCACCCAACTATGCATCTACTCACCCAGTCAACCACCTACCCACCTACCTACACACTGACCCACTCAGCACCCATCATCCACCCATCCCATCATCCAGACATCTGATTGTTGATGCATCCAAACCACTTTCTTGAGCACCAACTCAGTGCCACAGCTTGTGCCGGGGGTTGAGTAAATAGCAATGATAAAGCATCAGTCCTTGCCCCTTAAGGACTAGACCCTGGGAGACAGACAGGTGCAGGGATCTTGAACCGGGATGACCAGCAGGTGAGAGGTGATGGAGGTGTGAGCAGAGTGATGGCGGTGGTGGAGGGAGCAGGAAAAAGGGAGACATCCCACTAGAGTCCAGTGAGCCTGGGGCATCAGGAAGACTGACTTAAAGCCCTGAAGGATGAACAGGGAAACCCCAGGGGATGAGTTGGGGGCAAGGAGCCTCACGGAGACATACAGCCAGTGACAAAGTGTAGCAGCATGTTCAGGGCTGGGAGAGGGTCATGGGGTCCCTCAGACACGCTGCCCAGGGTTGGGGGAACTTACCCACAAACAGGAGCAGCAGGAGGCCGGCAGCCAGCGGGATGGCAATGGCATAGGCTTGGGGCAGGAAATACTTGTGGATGACATGCTGACTGTCGATGAATGGCTGGCATCGAGGGCAAAGCTCTGGTGAGCATTCCCCGCCCTGCTCAGCTCCCCAAGCCCAAACATCCCACCTCCTCCGTCTCTGGGGCTGACCCCATCAAAGCACTGAGACTGCATTTGCTTTTCTTTAAGATGATGGCATTTGGGGTGCCTTGGTTTGTTCTCTTCCTTCATTTATCTAATAGTTGTGTACTGGGCACTTGCCTGGTGCCTGCCCTAAGCTGGCGCTGGGGACCTGGCAGGGAACAGAAGACAAAGGACTTGCCCTAAGGCCCCCACAGCTTAGCAGGGGCAAAGGGTACATGAGGAATCCTCGAATGATTCCCAACCTGGGCTCCAAAGTCTTCTTTACTAACATTTTTCTCCAAAGGATACCAAGTTCTGCAAGATTTTGCCTTCCAAACACTACACTTCTAAAGCAGTAACCAAGACATTTTCCCACAGGGAAAAGAAAAATCCTAAAGACCCTCACAA